CGCTCTCTTTGAGTCGTCCTCGCTCTCTCTCTGAGTCGTCCTCTCTCTCTGAGTCGTCCTCTCTCTGAATCGTCCTCGCTCTCTCTCTGAGTCGTCCTCGCTCTCTCTGAGTCATCCTCACTTCTCTCCCTCTGAGTCGTCCTCTCTCTCTGAGTCGTCCTCGCTCTCTCTGAGTCGTCCTCGCTCTCTCTGAGTCATCCTCACTCTCTCCCTTTGAGTCGTCCTCTCTCTGAGTCGTTCTCGCTCTCTCTGAGTCATCCTCACTCTCTCCCTCTGAGTCGTCCTCTCTCTCTGAGTCGTCCTCGCTCTCTCTGAGTCGTCCTCGCTCTCTCTGAGTCATCCTCACTCTCTCTCCCTCTGAGTCGTCCTCGCTCTCTTTGAGTCGTCCTCGCTCTCTCTCTGAGTCGTCCTCTCTCTCTGAGTCGTCCTCGCTCTCTCTCTGAGTCGTCCTCTCTCTGAGTCGTCCTCGCTCTCTCTGAGTCGTCCTCTCTCTGAGTCGTCCTCGCTCTCTCTGAGTCGTTCTCTCTCTTTCTGAGTCATCCTCACTCTCTCTCCCTCTGAGTCGTCCTCGCTCTCTTTTAGTCGTCCTAGCTCTCTCTCAGTCGTCCTCTCTCTGTGAGTCGTCCTCTCTCTGAGTCATCCTCGCTCTCTCTCTGAGTCGTCCTCTCTCTGAGTCGTCCTCGCTCTCTCTGAGTCGTCCTCTCTCTGAGTCGTCCTCGCTCTCTCTGAGTCGTTCTCTCTCTTTCTGAGTCGTCCTCGCTCTCTCTCTCTCTGAGTCGTCCTCGCTCTCTCTCTGAGTTGCCCTCGCTCTCTCTCTGAGTCGTCCTTTTCTCTCTGAGTCATCCTCACTCTCTCCCTCTGAGTCGTCCTCGCTATCTCTCTCTGAGTCGTCCTCTCTCTCTGAGTCGTCCTCGTTATCTCTCTGAGTCGTCCTCGCTCTCTTTGAGTCGTCCTCGCTCTCTGAGTCGTCCTCGCTCTCTCTCTGAGTCGTTCTCCCTCTCTCTGAGTCGTCCTCGCTCTCTCTGAGTCATCCTCACTCTCTCCCTCTGAGTCGTCCTCGCTATCTCTCTCTGAGTCGTCCTCTCTCTGATTTGTCCTCGCTCTCTCTCTGAGTCGTCCTCGCTCTCTCTGAGTTGTCCTCTCTCTGAGTCGTCCTCGCTCTCTCTGAGTCGTCCTCACTCTCTCTCTCTGAGTTGTCCTCTCTCTCTGAGTCGTCCTCGTTCTCTCTCTGAGTCGTCCTCACTCTCTCTCTGAGTTGTCCTCTCTCTGAGTCGTCCTCGCTCTCTCTCTGAGTCGTCCTCTCTCTCTGAGTCGTCCTCTCTCTCTGAGTCGTCCTCTTTCTCTGAGTTGTCCTCTCTCTCTGAGTCGTCTTCATTCTCTATGAGTCGTCCTCGCTCTCTCTCTCTCTGAATTGTCTTCGCTCTCTCTGAGTCGTCCTCTCTCCCTCCCTCCCTCCCTCTGAGTTGTTTGTGAATGCCTTGAGTGAATGCGTGATCTATGGGCGTTTTCCGGTTTTTTTCAATTTAATGATTACATTATCAGTGAATTTAATAAAAATACGTCTTATTCATTCGAGGAAGCTTCAGTGAGTGTCTCAATAGCTCTTCTTTTAGGAGGGTCCGCTGTTACGATGCCTAACCATTTTTTATGCTAGTTCTCAGTCAGTTCCTCGCCGTGACGTTTTCTTATACGTGGTGAGAGATGATGACACGTCTAACTCTAAACTCGAGTAGTTTCATGATGGATAGATTGAGTCGCTTCACTTCGCGATTGATTTAATTTAATGATTTACCGCAGCAAACATCGTCTTTGGTGGTAACGTTTTTTTGTAGCAGAAAAAGTTAAAAGTTTCAGGGACAATAAGAATAATTGCGAAACTCCTAAGCACACTTTGCAGCTAAAGTTTCCCTCGTTCAGAATTCTGCAGAATTATTCGTGAGTTGGTATAATGGGTTTCAAACATTTCATGATCTTTCCTCTTTGAGCAGGTATCTCTCAGTTTTCAAACATTTCATTGTGTTGACTCTTTGTAAAGGTATCTATATCTTTGTACAATGCAGAGTCAGCGTGTGCTGTGACACCTGGGTGGATTTACAGCATCGGCACTTAAATGCAGCGTGAAAGGTGAACAATGAACGATTGCAAGCCCGCTGTATGGGAACTCAACGTGGCTCTTCACAGAAATGAAAAACATTCAAAAGTCCCCAAGTATCGCTATGTCCCTATGAACCCTTGGCAGTGCACGCATCCATTGGCCATCCTCAGGTGGACATTTCACATTTCTACGGTGAGAACTAGTCTCAAACTAAATCCTCCGTTCATATCTCTTCACCAAGTGGCGTAATCTTACGAGGTGATTCTTGCTTTAGCTGTCTTGGACGGATGATAATGTGGCCAGGTTGGTCCTTGCTGGGATTTTAACTTCATGTATTTATAATAATGAACGCTGCGGCTCTACCAACTGATAAATGACCCAGCTGATAGATTTTCTATGGGGTTTGGAGGGGTGGCACAAAGGGTAAGCACACTCTGCTTCGAACTCCCGGATTACAGCTAACACCAGTAGCGAGTGCATTCTAACCGGGACCTGGCCTCCTTCACAGCAAACCTTTACCTACCCGTACTACTGAAGCGCAATGAAACAAGCCCCCTGACTGATACGGTGTGCAACGTCGTTCATCTAGGAGTAGATTCGACTTAAGAGCCGTACATTATTTATTCGGCATTATTCCTACACAATTGAGGATCGTGAAAATTAAAACGTGCCTGCGTTTTCGACGAAGGCAGCATGTTCGGTCCCAGGTTTTTCTTGACCCCCCCCCCCCGAGATTCGTGCAGAGATGGACACGTGGAACGTTCGGCTATGGTGAAGATGAGCGCTTATACGTTTCCGAGAGATCTTTATCGCTCCGAGGGCATTGTCACGAGCGAAGAGAGCAATTCCGAGACGCAAACGTTGTACAGTGTGGCGTCGTCGCCAGGGCCGGAATATTGAGCCACCGCGCAAAGCAAACAAAAGGGCAAATTGGCGAAACCTTAAAACAATCGAGTTAAATGAGTTGGACAGCGTCCAGTCACTTTAACTTTTTAATGTAAACGAAAAGTGATGACTCTGTTGATGGCGGATTTTTTTTTACAACCATTAGATGTGGACCTTGGCCATGCAAGCACCTTGTTTTCGGGTTCGCTTTTTTATGCCATCCCGCGGAAAAAATATATTTTAAACGCTCCTGCAAATGTGAATTTTGAGAATAGTGGTGTAGGAAATGCCTCTTTATTGGGTAATGTGCCAAAGAATGGCAAGTCTGCTTGCAAAGAAAGCAAAGCAAAGTGAGAGACCAAGTTGTGACTTAAACAAAAACATTTTTGCTGCCAAAATTATCAGGGCATTAATATAATGCCGACAAAAATATTCGCGTTTGTCAAGAATCTTGCTGACAGGCCTTCATCGAAGTTGAACAACTGTGTTTTTGTTTCTGACTATCACGTTAATTATTGTTGTTATTATTTCTTGTCATTCATTTGAAGTGGAATGAACGTCAATATGAGGGCCAAATCAGCAATGGTAAATAAAGCGGGCATTTACCTAGAAAAGCGTATTTTTATATCGGGTCCTTATTTCGGGGTGTTTGGACAATCCCTTTTTCTTTCTAAGTTGGCGTGTCAGAACGAACGTGACACGCCTGGAGAAACCCATAACCATCAAGGGGAGAACACATTACATGGAGGTCAACAATTGGCTTTCTGTTATAACTGCTCATTGCCCTGTATGTGAGTGTCTCACGCAGACTCCATCTCTACATGGTCCACCAACCCTGTCTTAAAGAAACACTAACACGTCGCATTCTAAGTGGAGTTGCGTCATCGTGGCCAATGACGTTTTTTTTCCCCACCGCACCTCGCCAATGCTTTTCCTTTACCCAGGAAACCCTTGCCGGGGCTCGAAACGCTTTCCTTGTCTTCTCGAGATGTTTAGCCAGCTCCACTGGAGTGGCAGCCAAGGGAGAGAACGCTCCCGAGAGGACAATCCACGTGGAGATGGAGCTACGAAATAATGCCCGCGTTGTAGGAGCTCGGCGGATTGTTTCATGACAGGGCCGTGAGAGAAGGCGATGGCTTGGGGATGGCCTTCATCACCAGCAGAGGAATGATATTGGCTCGATGATGGCTTAGGCTCACGGACAAGCCGAAACCTATCTCGTGCAAACATTAGAAGTACGCTACATAATTGCTGTGTGTGTGTGTGTGATTCAAGTCTACATTACGCCCTGTGGACGACCGCTGCTCACGTTCTGAAGGGCCGTGGTGATGTATAAACTTCAAAGGGTCGCAATTTTACGTGTGCGCTCGTATTTAACTTAAGAGTGAAATCCCCATTGTCTGTTCAGGGACAGGATCTCGCTTCACCAGTTTAAAAAGAGAGAGAGGGGGGTGGCGGTTAGGGGGTTTGTAGTTTTGTAGCCATAAGGGTATGTGCACGGATGGTGGAGAGGGTATATGACACGTGCCTTGTCTGCAGGCGCATTCTCTGTGGTTCGTAAACGTGGTAAACAATTAAAATCTCATCCATTTTACTCAAAAATTATTTTGACGGCTACGATTATGGCGGTAATGATACAAGTGAACTATAAAATAATTATTTACGTTACCTAGTAAGGCCCACTGAGCTACATAGCTCTTTTTCAGAAGCGACTTGGCTACAAATGATCGCCGAACGAAGTGACTTATCAATTTATAGCCATAGCCAAATCCTATAAGCGCATGTTTCTAAATGTGGAGGGCAAAACTGGAGGAGACATGCAAACTCCATACATACAGGCGTATGTTCAACTTCTTTTTGCGCCATACGTAACCAACTGCGCTAATTGGAGGTGCTAATCAGAGGCGTGTGTGTCTCGGGATTGAACCCACGAGTTGCTGTATACCAGACGAGGCAGTTAACATCCTGCCACCGCGACGCCCCATGATGACGATGTGTCCATCCGTTTGCGTGGCACCAGGGTCACGACCCCGGCAGGAGGACGCTCTCCCGCGCATCGCGGAGCACCCGTCGGACCTGATCGTGCTGCGCGGCGAGCCGGCCACGCTCAACTGCAAGGCGGAGGGGCGCCCGGCGCCCACCGTCGAGTGGTACAAGGACGGCGAGCGCGTGGAGATCGGCAAGGATGACCACCGCACGCTGCTGCACACCGGCTCGCTCTTCTTCCTGCGCGTGCAGCACACGCGGCGCACCAAGACGGACGAGGGCAGCTACGTGTGCGTCGCGCGCAACTACCTGGGCGAGGCCGTGAGCCGCAACGCGTCGCTCCACATTGCTAGTGAGTCCCGCGGACCTGCGGCAGGTTTTTTCTTGGGGGTCGGTGCGCGGGGGGATCTCGCGGGTTTGCTCTTCTGCTGCAGGCGCTCGGGAGGCGAGCGTTAGCGCGGGGTGGGGGGGGGGGGGGGGGCGGGGGGGGGCGACGTGAGCGACCGGTACGACGTCTCGATGCTGGTGTCCAGGTCGCGCACAGAACGACAACGTCGTGAACTCAGGTCACCCGCGTCTCCGATTTGCACGATTGGGCTACGTGCGGTGTGAAAGAGGGCTACGTGCGGTGTGAAAGAGGGCTACGTGCGGTGTGAAAGAGGGCTACGTGCGGTGTGAAAGAGGGCTAGGTGCGGTGTGAAAGAGGGCTACGTGCGGTGTGAAAGAGGGCTAGGTGCGGTGTGAAAGAGGTTCAACTTGCACACGTTCCAACACGTACGTACACCCGAATCGGAGCACAGTGCGGCGTCCAACGTGCCGCAAAACTCCCCCAATACCTCTACGTGCGCATGTGGAAAATAATTGACGAGTGTGTACACGATTGAAAGGGTGCATTGTGAGACTGATGGTAGATTGTCAGCGATGAAGCGTGGTTGTCGTCACATGGCCAACAGGAACACAGTGTCAGCTGCGTTTACTCGAGGTAGGGCGTTAGCTACAGACGGCTATGTACAGGTCTGGACTGACTTGGGAAGGACTATGTTATCTCTCAGCAAATCTTGCGTGTTGCTCTGGCAACTGGATGATGTCACGAATCTCCGCTCAATGGGTGTTGGAGTAACTGGAGGTTGAGTTTTTTTTTTATCTCGGGGAGATCATTCACGCCAGTGGCCAACACACACGCGATGCTGATTTGGCTTCCAAAGCAGCTCGGGTGGAGGGCTCTGTGTTTGTTGTACCGTGTCTGCATCGGGGGTTAAATTAACTCCACTTTGCCGCGTTTTCATCACCTGGGTCTTTATTGTCCAGAAGAAGAAAATCCCCAGCGTAAACGCAGCTGTGTCAACATTACAGTGGGGCGGGACGGGGAACTCACCCAATCATTTTTTTGTTAAATCATATCTCGTCGAAGATATCTCGCGCAGACTGAGTGGGCTGGCCACGGCAGAGGTGCGATTATGAGCAATGCGGAAATGAATGCTCTGCAGGGTGAACCCATGTGGTGCACTTGTTGGGGTGGTGTCGGGGGTGGTGGTGATGGTGGTGGTGGAGGAGGATGCATTTAGTTCAGCATCTGGGCGCGGAGCGAATCTCCTGAGCCGGGCGCAGGAGCAGCACCGCGCCGCTCACATGGCTCCGATTCGCCTCACGGGCAGGAGCCGAGGGGTCGGCGATGGGCTCGCGAGAACCACCCCCACCACTCCCCCCGCCCCGCCCGCCCGCCCGCCCGCCCGCCTGTGAAGTTAGCCGTCCCCCAAATTTTACGCGTAACTTGACAAGTCGCGTTTCGCCAACGTCCAGCCCGTGTCTCCAGTAACGTGAAACTTCCCACGACCCCCCCCGCCCCGGTGGGCACGGGTGAGCTGGGGGGTGGGACAGTTGGAGCGGGGCAGTTGGAGGGGGCAAGAGTTGGGGGGGGGGCAGGGTCCTGGGTCTCCGGCGGCGTCTGCATCTCCACGTCATGTCGAGCCTCACCCTGCCAGGTTATTGGCCGTCGCTGACGAGATTAGCGTGCGCGCGCGCGTGCTCATTAAGCGCTCAGGTTCCCCTTTGATATGCGACAGTCGCTCTGATGTCGAAGCACGGGCTCATTCTCGCCCCCCCACCCTACCCACCCATCCCCACCGCCTCCTTTCACTCACTCACACTCCACCTCCTCCCTTTGTCCCAAAATCAAAGGCACGAACCTACAGCAGGTATTTCCTGTTGCTTTCATCGAGATAGCGGGGCACCGAAAACCGTGATGTTCCCGCAGCCGTCTCATCTTTCTCACTATAGGGCCAGGCCGTTTTTCACGGAAGGTGAAGGTGGAAGGGAGGACACGCGTGTGAGATGTGTGTGTCCTCACACACACACACCTGCCCGCCCGCCTGCCCGCCCGCCTGCCCACCCGCCCTTGGTAATGATAAGCTGCCAGTTTAAAAAAAAAAAACTTTTAATCCATTGTTTGCTGTCAGCCGGTGTCTGAGGTATGCGATCTAAAATAATAATAATAAACATAATAACGATGGAAAGAAAGAGGGACATAACCATAGGGTTCGCCGGTGCGACAGCGCCTCGGGCGCAGCGCCGCGCCCAGCGGTGGAGCCGCACGCGAGCTGGCAGAGGAGCTCGTCATCGCGGCGGCCGCGAAACGGCGCGTTCATTCGCGACAATCTTTTGGTGTTTTAGCCTCTACCTGCCAGAATTTTTAATCCGCGTTAAGAGGATCACCAGTGGGTTGTCCGTTACGCCCCGCTTAAATGCGCTAAATTTATATAAATAAGGCGAAATGACAGGGCCCCCACTTGAATATTTGTGCGGGCTACAGCTGCCACTTAAATCGACAAAACGAGAGGGGTTTTTTTTCTTTTCGCGTCGTTTCTTCCTCCCATTCTCGTGTTGGTGTTCACTCCTCGCGCTTGCTCTGCGCTGGAGCCATCGACGTGTTCTCTGGCGACCAACATTTTTTAGAGCGAATGAAGGGAAAAAAAAGCGTGAGCCGCCGAACCGGAAGGCAGGGTAAATGGAGAAGGTTTCACGGGACGCGAGGACTTGCCCGTGGGGAGAGGAAGGAGCATCCCCGCACACTCCTTCTGCTTTGCCGCCCGCGAGCTCGCTGCACCGATTAGCCGTGCCGTTTTTTTTTATTGTACAAATGGTTTAAGGGTCACCAAAACATGCCGTGCCTGCTAATTCACTTCTCTCTAGTGGCGTGAGTTGTGGCTTGTTGGGGGCCGGGGGGTGCCCAATAAGGCGAAATTAAAAAGCAAAGAAAAACATTTTTCTTTTCTTTTAGAGTCTTATTTTTATATTTTAAAAGGCCTGGAGACTGAGCCGCTTGATTGATCAGGACTGGGCCGATCTTTATCTCAGAGATCAGCATGTCGATTGCGCCTCTCCCATGCCTCTTGTTAACGACGTACTTTACCCAGGGCAGGGTAGGAGACGAAAATGATCGGCGGTGGCGGCTGCAGTGGCGGCGGCCGTGCGGGCGGGCGAATAGCTCGGCGGGGTTCGGCCTCCCCGTGTTGGTTTTTCTCAGGGGTGAAGAAACCGCAGATGTCATTGTTTTGCTGCGCAGGAGGAGCCTGTGCTTCCTGCGTTCGCAAGCGGTGTCGGCCGGTTGCACGATCGCGCGCGACGCTGTCTTCTGAGCCCCGCCGCGCGAGTGCGTGCAAGTCCTCATTCTTTCCTGCGTCTCTCTTTGTTAAACGTTTTCGTTTTAGTGGTTTTCTTTTTGTCGCACTCTGCACGTTTGTGTTTGCGGTATGATGTGCAGCACGCGCTGCTTGAGCGAGTAGCGACCGGCGGGCGGGCGGGCGGGCAGGCGGGTGGGCCGGAAAGTAAAACGTGTGGTTTTTTTTTTTCCCTGGACGTTTCATGGGTGGCCAGATGTCGTGAAGACAGGGCGGCATGAAAGACACGCACTTGGGGATGACGACCGGGACACGGGAGGATCGCTTGATCTCACTTTGAGTTTGTAAAAAAAAAAAGTCTCACACACGAACGGTTGCTCGGGTCAGAAAAGTTGGGTGACTGGTCGGAGCGGAAAACGTTTCCTTCGTAATCCTAACAAGTCGAGGATTATTTTAGCAAGAGCAGACTGGAAGTACAGCTAAAACCAAGGTAACTTTACCACCATCATTGTTGAAATCGACTGTCTTATGAACTGGGAACGTTGCAGTTAGGTAAGGCCTTGCTTAGCAGACCTTTATTAAAAGCTTAAAAGGCACAGCCCTGCAATTTCTTTCTCGTGCCACAGCTGGCAGACGGGCCCCCATTAGAGGGAGTTGCAGAGGGAAGGCCTGTAGAGAAGCCATTTTAGCCGACCCTTCCACGCCGCCGTACATCTTGAAAGAGGTGGGAGTACCCACACTTTACCCCACCGCACACGGCATGCCGATCGACTGATTGTGGTGGACCCATTTATGCTGGTGGTTGGACAGAGGTGGCGGGGGAGTGGGGGCGGATTAAGGAACTGTCGTGGCGTTTCGACTGCTGTGCTTGGGAGGTCGATCCGGCGACCTCTGCGTTGCAAGTGCAGAGTGTGAACCAATGGCACTGGGGTGGCACCCCAGACCTCCCTTTATAAATTGAGGCCTACGCGATCGCCTCAGGTTTCGCTCAGCAGATCTCTCTCCATGTTTGAGCAGAAAAACGCAAGAGGCACGAGACAGCGGCGGTGGTGGCGGTGGGTATAATTACATCCTCTGCTTCCACGCCGCTGACCGTGCCTCTTTTGTCTGTTCGTTAGCGGAAAGTATTCGTGAGCGCATCCTTATTTTTTTGCGTGACACAATTTTCACGGAAGTCGAGAGACGATGGGCGAGGAAGGAGTTGTCTGGTCCAGCGCTGCCGAGGCTGGGCTTTGAGATCATGGTTGCTGCGGTTCTGTGGGAGTGAAGTGGGGCGGCGGTGGGCAGGAGGTCTCCTTCACTTGGCTTTCCGATAAGAAGAGAAATAACTAAACTTCCTCGAATCAAAAAATTGCCCTCGTTTTATCCTGCGTGGGTTCCGCGTTTTTCATCTTCCCTCCCCCCTCTCTAACGGCCGCTTAATGGCGTCATGTGCTGAAGATGAATGCGTTGTTTTTCCAGCCGCCGTCCTCATTACAGCTGCCCGTAATTGGATGGAGCCATCGTGCATAGCTCATTTTGACTCAGGAGCATTTTTACCTACATCCGAATGCATGTATTCCACCGAAGGTAAAGCGCACGTACATTTGTCGTCACATTTGCGAGCGTGATATATGTTATTCAGACACACGTATGGGTCTTTTTGCCACCCTGTACATTTTTCGGAGATGTTTTAACAATTTTTTTTTTTAATTTGAGCAAGCAGACTCATGTTCGACGAACAGAGGAAATTGGA